CCCCCCACGACCTTAATTTAATCACCAAAGGTTGTTTGAGTAATCTAAAAAACATATATCTAAATGATCTGATTCAAGCTTATTAAATTAAAACATATTCTGATTTGTTTCTTATTCTATCGCTGCAAACTAAATATCTGTAGGTTGTGGACAAAACAAGACATTTAAAGATGCATTCTTGGGCTCTGGGAAACACTGGGGCAGTTGTTGCCATTTTCTGACCTTTTATAGACCAAACAACTAATCAAGAAATCAAGAAAATAATAGATAGATTAATTCATCAGTGGGAATAATTGTTGGTTGTAGTCCAAATTAAATGCATCTTAACCAACCAGGGCTCCAGACTCACTTCTTCCCTGGTAGCACCGGTGCGACAAACTTTCTCATTTGCTGCACCTCCCACCTGGTCACAGGTAAAACAATGACTTGCTGAACATCTTCTAATTAGTAGATTCTATAATTTACAGATGTTCCCTAAACGCCTCACATTGCAGCTGCAGTAGCTCCTGTTGGTATCTGTGATGTGCTCAGACAGGTGTGCGACCAAACATGACTTTAAAAAGAGTAAACCAGGACGTTCTAATGTCAGATTTGTCCAAAATAAAACTGATTTCTTTTTTTTTTCTTTTTTTAACATGCATTTCTATGAGAGGAAAAAACAGTGAATGCAGGTGCGCTCCATTCTTCTAGAGAAGACCGCATTTTAAAGAGTAAATACCGCAGCACACTGAAGTTATTGAAGTATTACTTCCCACCACTGTGGTTAACACAGCAGCTTCCTGTGCCGGCTAGAGTGACACTAATACAGCTTAATGATCGTCATGCACTTGCACCAATAAGACCACTCAAAATTTTACCCCTGTTGACAACTAACAAGGACTTAACAATTTTTTGACATATAGTCTCAGATCAGGCTGACCTGAGTGTGTCTCCGTCCTTCTGCAGTCTCATGTATCGCTCCTGCGCTGGCCGTCCATCCCCAATATCTCTAATTCGGCGCCTCAAGTTCAGGAGGCATCTGTGGTGTAGTACATTGATGTCATCCATCTGAATGGAGAAAACAAGACAATTATTTATTAACACCATGAGCTCTGCGCCATGTCTGCTGTCCTTGAAATTTGTTACCTGCAACTAACAAATTAGGAGTCATATTTCCATTAACCAGTTATTATTTTAATTTATACCTTTCAATGAACTTCAGAACAAAATATTCCTTAAAATGAAGGTGTTGTGATCACATTGCTTGTTCTGTCTAGACACGGTTGATATGGTCTGGGGGTGCATGAGAAAGGATTTTTACCAATATTTGAATTTTGACACCCAGCATATGCTCTAATGTTGCACTAATGTGAGAATAAAGTGAACACTGTGAGTATTATATAACAAACCGATTTCTTAGTAGCATGATTTTAAAGTTATCAGTGAATCAAAGGCTTGAATTATGAATGCAGTTTTTATGTGGGCAGACGAGGAGTGATTTCAAAATGAGGGCGCCTAATATTTTCCTGTATTTGTGTTTATGACCATAGGCCTGAATGATAAAAGAATAGAGAGATGTACCTGTGATGGACATGCCATTAAAAGCATTGAGAAAACTGTTTAATAGAATGTTCACTAATTCCACTTAAATGGATGTTTCAATTAACACTTAAAGTCTCTCTTAAATTAAACAGCTAATAAGACACATAATGGAAACACAACATCTGGTACATGACCA